TGTTGTCCAGCATTTGTTGTCCAGCATTTGTTGTCCAGCATTTGTTGCCCACAAAGGGAGTGGTGAGATAGTGCTGCCTTGAACTATTGTAGTCCATTTGGTGTGGGTACACCCACAAAAGCTGTTAGGGAGGCAATTCTAGGATTTTGACCTAGTGACTCTAAAGGAGCAGCAATAGGTTTCCAAGTCTGGATGATGAGTGGCTTGGACAAGAGCTTCCAGGTGGTAGTGTGCCAATGTATCTGCTGCTTTTGTCCTTTGGTTTGAAGCGTGGTGATTTCTGTTGGTACCATATCTTTTTCAGCGTGTTTGCATCTGCAGTGATGTATATATCTCTTCACATGAGTTGGTAACAAGTTACTAGTGAAATCAAATGTTTGGAACTAGTGCAAATTTTGCTAATCATACTTGATTGTCTGATGTAAGTTGGTTTGCAAGATCTCACACAACGTAACAGACTCCAGTGTGGGCTTCAGAGCAGACTGCATGAGAGAACAGTAAAATAGTGTGTTGTTGAAATCTAATTTCAGTCTAAGGAAATACTAAAAGGGATGTCACAGCATTTCTGAAGGCCTTCTAAAGAGCATCAAAAGGTCTAATACTATTTAAACGCATTTTGCTATGATTGAATTGGCATTAGGAAGTCCAGGAGCTGTGTACAAACTTGTCAGAGCTGCCCAATTTTCTTTAATTGCTGCATTGAAAGATGTGATTTGAGAGAATGTGCCATTCCACACAACCAGACGGCAAATCTACAAACAGAGACTTTTATGTCATTTAATAAGATCATGAGTAATCTAAATGTAACTACAAATTCACATTCCTGCTTACCCTTGATAATGTTTCAACCCTGTGCTTTCAAAGTGTCTTTCCATCTGTGCAATAAAAAAAATTCAAAGACTCCTCTTCCACCACATCTTTAAGGAAGAGAGTTCCAAAGAACTCAAACCCCTGATGGGTGGGAAAAAAAATCACCTAGTCTGTTTTAAATGAATGACTCTTGAATTTTAAGCAGTGACCCCCAGCTCCCATTACGTAAGCATCCAGCCTTCCAAGATCCCTCAACATCTTGTATGTTTCAACCAATTCATCACCTACTCTTCTGAACTCCCAGCCGTTACAAGCCTGGCCTGCCCAACATAAGGCAACCTGCTCATTCCAGGTATTAATCTGGTAAGCCTTCTCCGAACTGCTTCCAACACGTTTGCATTCTTCCCTTAAATAACGGGTATATTCCAGATGTGGTCTCACAAGTGACCTGTTATGCCTGAAGCATAACCTCCCTACTTGTGTTCCATTCTTCTCAGGATAAATGATAACCTCATATTAGCTTTCCAAATTACCTGCATACTAACTTTGTCCCTTGTGTACTTGGACACCCAGCATCCCAGAGCTTTCTAATCTTACATCATTTAGATACAATGCTTTTCTTTCATGTCAAAGTGGACAATTTTGCATTTTGCCATATTATGTTTGATTTGCCACATCTGTGTGCTCTTAACCTCTCTTCTTTTTGTAGCCTCTCTATATC